AAGTCTTTTTACCTCTCTTCCCCCAAGATAACACGTTATATCCTTCAAGACATACTTTTAACACGTATTTATGTATATGCATTGGGGTTTTCAAATAACATAAACAGATAAAATTATAGCTATCTATCAAAGGTAGAAAGTTTTGAGTTTTTATTGTTGCTGTTCTATTTTTTCATTCATATCCCATTTTCCATTTTTTGCCAATGTCATATTTAAAAAAATAAGAATAGTCCATATCTGTCTTTCATTACTTCACAGTTTTATTGTCACAGTTATGACAAACCTCCTGTAGGGCTGGCTCTGGGTAAACTAGGAAAGTGGGTTAGTTGTCTAACATTTGGACACGTTCTATTTATCTCCCGGCCTCCCCACCAGTGCCCAGTGCCAAGTCCAGTCCATGGTCAGCTGAGGCCCTCCCTGTCAAGGTCCACTGAATCCTGCCTTCCTGATCCAGCGTCCATTGGTCTGGAAAACTGCCTATCCTGTTCGACAGTAAACATACAAAAATGTTTGACTTCACTTGTAATAAAATAAATCAAAATATCCAAAGGATGATAATGACCAGTGTTACTGAGGGTGCAAAGAAATGAACACTCATGCTCTCCTGGTGAGGATGTAAATAGGTGCAAATTTTCTGAAAAGCGATTGGGATATGTACATTGAAAAGTAATTTTTTTCCTACTCTTTGATCTGACAATTCCAATTCTAGGAATTTGTCTAAGAAAATAATCAGGGTGAGAAGAGAATTNAATAGGTGCAAATTTTCTGAAAAGCGATTGGGATATGTACATTGAAAAGTAATTTTTTTCCTACTCTTTGATCTGACAATTCCAATTCTAGGAATTTGTCTAAGAAAATAATCAGGGTGAGAAGAGAATTTAGCTATAAGAAGGTTCAATTAATAAAATATAAATTTTAAATGAAAATCTGTGTCTAATTATGTATGTTTGTTAAAATTAAGTGTAATATAGCTATAGGCTGGAATACTTTCCAGTCACTAAAAAATGACCTTGGTGGCTGACCAGTTAGCTCAGCTGGTTAGAGCAAGGTCCAGACTTTGAGCCCTGTACCAGCCAGCCACAAAAAAAATTTAAAAAGTTAAAAAATCATCTTGTAGTAGATTTTGAACAACCTGAGAAAATTTATACACTATACTTCCTACAAGAAAAGGTAAGTATTATATGCAATATGAATTCATGTTTTATCTCAAAAGGGATTATGTAATGTATATGTTCATAATGGTGATAATAATCATA